TAGAAGACGTTTCTCGTTTATCCTTTCGTTGCTATATTGTGCATATATAAAAGACACAGATGTATATTTGCGTGCCTGAATTCGAAACGAGATGCTATTCTTTGTGTATTTACATTTCCTGCCTATATAAATGATGAGAATGGAATAATTAAATACGCATAAGCTGTCCTTTACACACTTTGCAAATTCGACGGAAACATTTCTGTATTCGATCTAGAACAATTTACGCGGGAATTTTTGCCTCGATTTATCAATTTAAGGTCAGATTTCGATCATTAATCATAGCCTGCACAGCCCTCCAATAATTCGAAATATTATTCTTCCAATGCTTGAGAACCACCGTTAGCTTCGATCCATCAAGTAATAAACAATTTCATCGAACGACAAACACCTTTTCCTTGAAACGTTTAAAAAATCCAAAGCTGCTGTCGAAAGAGCCCCGAGAAAAAACACAAATTCCTATTTCTCTGATTAACACACACTGCGCCTGAACAGCCTGAAGAACGTGCCTAAGAAACCACCCCTTCCAGCAAAGGAAACATTCATCCTCGTCAAAAGAAAGAAGAATCGTTCGTTTCTCGAGAAGGCCGCCTTAAATAACAAAACACTTGGTTCACTTAAGGGCGATGGGGTGGCTGTATCGACACTCCGACCTCCTCCCCCCGGCAACACACGTACAAAATACACAGCGTTAAAAAGACACACCTTGGCCCCGCTACGGATAGAAACTGTCACGACTACACGGCCGTACACTTAAGACCGTGCCACACTAATGCATGTACACTTAAGTCGGCCGCATAGAACCCGACGGTAACTGCAGCTGCTTACAGGGGCTTCCGACAGTTTCCACCAACCCCCACTGTACGCCCCCATTCCACGTCATTATCATCCATTTGCTAATACAACAAGATAAATTGCCCTGCCTGGCTGCAACGTTACACCCTGGCCTCCGAGTTTTCTCCTCTTCTACCCACCGTCTCTGTAACCACCCTCTTGAGCGTCTTTCGCGCAAAGGCGAAGAAGAAGGCGGTGGTTGGCTCGCCCTGGAAGCGTTCGTTCCGCCGGATTTCTTCCTTCCTGTATTTCTTTTCTTTCTTTCTCTTTATCTTTCTTTAAATTCGTTTTCTTTCTCCCGTTCCTTTGTTTCGTTTCAGCTTGAGGGAATTACGGTGTGAATGGCGAAACGCAAGGGTGAGATTGATTTTAGGTAAAGTGCAGAAAGTTTTAATCGCGATGTGGATTTTTTTTTTAGGGTTTTCGTTATTTTAGAGAAATATTTACTTTTGTTTATCTTTGATTTATCTATTGAAAATGTTCGTCTCGTTATTTTTAGGCAGGTGGAATTTTTATTCCAATTCTGGACGTGGTTTAAATATTCTTCTTCTTTTAACTCCTATAGTTTTAGTATCTGGAAATGTTCGAAATGTAACAACCGGTCTTTGACTCGTCGTTGCAAAAGTACTAGAATGGAAATACTAGAAAATTATGCGCAATACTCGAGTGGCCAGAAGCCTGCAACAACCGCACAAAATACCCGCGAAACTCCTTTGAAACGGTTGCAATCCACCCTCGAGTCTAGTTTCGTCTTGATTGCCATTTACATGCGGCTCGCTCCGCCATCCCCATAAATAGCGAATATCGAAGGACGACACGATCTTATCGTGCGCTCGTTGCCAACGTTAAAGGGTGTCCGATAATAGCGGGGCGGGGAAAAATGCCGGCAATCGTGGAAGTTGCGTGACCAGCCTGATAAAACATCGACCCGTTCCCAACCGTTTGCGTATCGTTTCTCTGGCCGATCCCTTCTGATTCTTCCTCTCTTCCATGTACTTCTGCTTTCTTCCTTTTCACAATGGCTACAAAATTTACATCTACAATATTACATTTATTATTATACACTATGTTTATATATAGACCGCAAATAGAAATACCTTCGGGAGAACGAAGGACGGAAAAATGCATATGGTATGCAAAAATATATATGAAGTATCCAAAGTAGAGTACTTGTTACAATATTTACTATATTTTAGTGTAAGAGTATATCGAGTAGCATGTAATGTAAATAAATACTTAGAGTACTCGTTATAGTGCTTGTTTACTATTTACTTACTGCAATACCTATTATGATATAACTGAAGCAAATTTTTATTTTGCGGCTAATACGGTCCACGACGAATTTTTCATTCTAATTGGAATTTCCGGGCCTGGAGCTAATGGAATCACATATGGATATCCAGAATATCCACAACGTTTCCTTCGTAATGCTACGAAGAAAACGGTTGGTTTCGATAACACGGAGGTGTGTATCCCACGCATTGTGAAAAGGTCGAAGAAGCGATATTTGCAGAGAGCTGTTAATTAAACGCTACGTAGCTCAGATTGAATTGGTTTTCTTTCCTTTACTTTACTTCTCCACCGCCCCACCCCCCGCTTTCTTTTAAAAAGATTTCGAAGATTAAAATTAGATTCTGCAATTTCGATATATTAAAAATCTTTGTTAAAAAAAAATGACGATTCCAAGACTTTAACGAATTTGTGATTGTGATGAAATTCGTGAAATTTTCGAGCGAGAATTTTTCTTAGGTTTCCTCGTGTTTGTAGAACGTCCAGTAATTGAGGAAAGTCGTGATTCTTGTTTTAATTGCACGTAGAAGAATGTTTTATGAGAAAAAGTTGGAGGGGCTCAAAGAGAGGGGTGTCTTTCTAGAAAACCTTTCTCGCGAGCGCAACTTTCCATATGAATTATGCAGTTGCTGAATCTTTTTCTGATGGAAATGTGTACATTAATAATGTTTCGAGTATTTTGATGAAACATTTGCGATGCACGTACATTTTCAAAGGAAATGTTGCTGAAATTCGTTGGTAAATCTGATGTTTAATACATGTTGAGAATATTTGGAGGAAATTCGTGCGTGCCCCTTTTATTATTTATAATCTTCGTTATAATTAATCGCGAAGAACAAAAAGTCCCCTATGTACTTGTGTACTTTTCCATGTTGTTGAAATTTATCGAAAAATTTCATTCCTAATTCGTGCTGAGAAAATTTCTAGAAAAATTCACACGAATTCGAATTCTTATTATTATTTATTATCATAGGCTGTTGTAACGATAATTTCTTCGTAAATACTATTATCGCAAACATTCTTCGAAATTAAACTTATCGTTTAGAAGACTAAATGAACGAATAAGAAATTTAAAAGGATCGTGATGTAAAGAAATGGTAGCGTGGAATCGGTAGAATCGGAACGTTAACGTTGTATCCGAGGATAGGAAACGATGCTAATAAGCGAATTTTCCTGGAAAAGCAGGTCGTGCGTGACAGCTCTTCAAAACGCACGCACAAATTGGACATGGCGTGACGAGGCCAAGCCCGCGGCTTCGCTTTTCAAAAGGAGCTGCATTTCTACGGGGGATGACGCGATGAAACTGCCAGCTTCTGTTCTTACGCGAACTGAACCACGCGTGACGCAAAAGTTTTGTCCGCGTTGCTATTTTTAAATTTCTCTGAAAATGTTAATTATTTTACGGTGTTCCATGGTCGAAGAGAATTTTATCGTACTTTTATCGGTATCTGATCTCTTAGGATTTTTTCATTTTTACAAGTTTCGAATAATCCACAGCTTTCTACGATCGTTCGTTATTTTGTAATTTCTTTACAAATGTCCGATATTCTTTGCAATGTTTTCAGTTCTTCACATATATGTAAGACTTTTTTAATCTCCGATAATGTCAAGTATTCTACGGTTTTTGTTGAGTGACATGTTAAATATCTTTCAACTTTTTACACATATTGGCTATTTTAGAAGTTTATAGATATGCTATAATTCATGGATATTCCATAATTTTTCACGAATATTCTCCGGTAGAAGCGACATTTGATAAAAAGAACTTTACCTCGAAGTATTATTCTTCGTTTCATGAGATATACAATATTTAACGTACAACGAAGAAGTGACTTGTACATGTGTAATAGAAACATCGTGCATCTACGATATTATGTTTATAAATCGGTGTGGGTATAGTAAACCAGCGACATAATTTTTCAATCGCGACGTGGAGAATCGTTCTTTGGAAATTCTCCGCTCCCTCTGTTGTTCGTGTACGGCTTTTGTTGTTGCTCGTTTAAATAGACCGCGGGATATCTTGGCGAAATTGATCGACTGACGTGGCATTCACTGGCAGAATGAGCGTCCCGCTGATATAAACGCATTCCCGTGGATTAATTTCCGGCGTCTGACGATGCGTCGACTGTTACTACTCGCGGACGCTTGGTTCCACCAGCTCGCCGATTATTACAAGAAGAAAACAGCCGCCGTACTCCTAAATAAACTTTACTATAGTTTAATATTTATGGTTTATAGATTGTACTGCAAATGGAAGAATGCGCAGTCTTGTTTAAAAAATTCGCTGAAAATTTCAAATGTTGTCCTTTACTTTATTCATAGAACTTGGTTTATAGAAGGTTTTAGGGCTGGATGTAGCAAGGAGATGTTTATAAAGCATTTTGTTGAAATTTGGAAGAAGCAGAGTGTTTCATTCCCGTAAGAAGAAATTGTTAACGCTTTTACGAAACGTTGATAACGGTGCGAATTTAAAAACGATTTAACGTACAATCGTACATATCGATTTTCGAGTTGTCGCCATGAAAATATCATCTTGTTCGTTTATCTTTATAATTTGGTCCGGGAGAGAGCAGTTATGTGGCTCTTTTGACTTATGTAGCACTGTGCCGTATCCTACAAACCGTGTCCTATTATTACTTGCGTCCTGACTACAAGATTTCCCAGGGTTAAGAATTAAAAATGGAAGACAGAAGAACACTTGGACCTGTTTTACGAGCATTGTTCTTCTTGTCCACGAATCTGACTTAATTACACTCAAAAACAAATTCCCGATTCTTCCGCAAACGAAATTTGTCAAAAAATTCGAAAATGTTTGAAACGATTTATTCGAAGCTTCTGAGAAATTCTAACCGAGTCGTTTGTTTTTTTGCTTTCAGGTGAGTGTCCCGGAATTCCAGTACGCTCGAGGGACGGGCGCGTCCCTTACGATGGTAAGCCATAAAGCACTGTACCCTGCGCCTTCGTGCGTCGTGCAAACCGCTTTGCTCGTGCCACGTGGCCTGTTTCCGCGCGCCAGTCCCACCCTAGTTTCTTATTCAGCGAACATAGCACGCGAGCCCACGGACATCCTTATTAATTAACTTTTCGCGATACGTTTCTCTCGCTTCAACAGTTTGACAACATACAACGTTGCGATCCGTTTCTGACAAGTGCAAGAGGAAGCGAGAGGGATACGAGAAATTTCTGTAATTAGAACGCAATAGTTTTCGGAATTCAGGACAGAAAACTTTTTCAACGTTGAAAGGATGGAATTAAATATTCCAGTTTGCGTACTTTTCTACATATTCTAACAGGGAAAGAAATATAACTAGTGAGGTGTTCCAAGTAAACAACTTTTATTGAACAAATATAAAAAGTTAAGCGAGGTTGACAATTTTAACAGTGAAAATCAGCTCTCGTCCGGAAGTTTCATCCTCTTACGTTACTGCCGCTGTAAAATAAGACGTATCTCGAGAGAGATGTAGACGAATGTGTTTGTATATCGTCAGAATGGCCACCAAGGGGTGGAACGCACATAACCAGCGAAAAATCGTTTTGTGTCACTGGGATGAAACGTGTCCTTATTGACGTTGGATCAATATATTAACCTCGTTTTACGTTGATAATATGATAGCGTGACACGAGGTAACATATGCTAATTTTTTCACTAAATATATGTCTGCAATAAATATCTTGCAGTTTCTATATACATTTTCAGGCTGCTTTCAAATTTAACCAGTATGACCATGAGAGCCGTGTTTCGTTACGAGACTGCGCATATTTATGTAAATTTATATTTTTACAGATACAATTAAAAGAGCTAGTTGTTGAGAAAATTGTTTCACCTTGTTAAATATTATAACGGAAATTTTACTAAAATTTGAGTAAATGATCGCTTTAGAATTGCGTAAAGAATTGTTTTATGCGTTAAATATTAGAAAAGGTTACTTTCTATGGACGTCTATATCCTGGATATCGTATTTTGTATATCGTATTTTAGACAGTTTTCCACGTTACGTGCATCGTTATCTGCGTTCTGTGCATTTTTGCACCCCCAAGTTTTCCATAAATGTATAAAAACCCGCGTTAACAGCGCTAATGAAACTTCAAAATATTTTATATGACACATATACGGGTTGTCCCATCTAACTTCGTCACCCGGAATATCTCCCTTGTTTTCGATGATATTAAAAAATGCTTCAGGAATAAGTTGAATGTTTTCCCTAGAAGAACGCGTAGAAGACGTACGAAGGTTACCGATGTTGTTTTTTTTTTTATGGAATCGTATATTTATCTTGTCAGAACTAATCATGACGAGTTATGGCCCCCCTTGAAACCATCCAACCTGTTCGTGAAACATTTTTTAATACTCTGAAAAACAAGCGGGATATTCCAGACGATAAAGTTAGGCGGGAGATACCCCGCGTTATACGTATGTATATACATAAGATGTATAATACATACATAAGTGTCGAAATACTTTGGTCGGCAAGTATCTATTATCCAAAGTATCTCATCGGTATTATCTATTACCTAAATTCCCCAAGAGTGGAAATTTCAAAGACAGTCAATTTCTGCTGGAGCAGAAATTCCGCGAAAGTGGAGGATCTTGCCACGTAACAGACACTTCTAGGGCAGATAATTCGCCGAGGAAAATTCCCCCACGGATAGAACAGTTTCACTTACTTAAACGCTGATTCCACGTCGTTTGTACGTCGCTGAAATAACGAGAGATTGTACGAGACACCAGCCGCGTTACACGTATACACAGTTTTGCCTCGTTTGGTGGTGGAAGTGACGGTCTTAAAGTGTCTGACGGAGGAGAAAAATGGAGGCACGCGACGCCCGAAAATCCGACCCTATTTCGCTTTCAATTTGTAGCTCCTCAAAGGGGTGTGTAAACAGTTTCCAGAAACAGTTTTCTCGTGGTCTCGCGTCGCGCGAAGTGTTTTCCTCGTGCGCTTCCACAAAGGAACCGCGAGACCGGCCATTCCCCTGCAAAGGGCCGTTTTTCTCGATCATTTTAATAGAACGCACATCCCTCGTTATTTATTTGATACGCGTATGTGTGTAAGGGAACGTGGTTGTTTTTCGGAGGAAAATATTTTTTGATATTTCCGTCGAACAAAATTGCGATACTGGTTTGAGACAACACCGTTAAAAAGGTCGTCAAACGTAATAACGAGAATACCACAAAACGCATGATTACCAACGCATGATTACGACATAGTTCAAATCATAGTTGATGTTTTCATAGAGAAAAAATTTCTTCGTCTTATTTCGTTCGAATAAAATCGTAATACCGCGTTAAATCAATAAAATTAAAAAAGCATCGGATAAAAAGAAACGTAATTACAAAGAAGCCGCGGCACGCAATTATCACCTACACGGTTCTGCTCGCATTTGTTCTCTTCTTTTAGGAAAAATATTTTTTCTTTTTACTTTATTCCAACAAAATCGTGATAGCGGATTAAAGCAGTGACGTTAAAAATTCATCATACATAAACAAACGTTAATCAATAATCAACGACGAAGCCATATAACACATAATTATCGACACAGTTGTCGAAGAAAATTCATTGCGCAAACGTCTCCTTCATCCCCGTGAAACCGTCGATTCGAAGAAGACGATCTTCCTAGTATAGTATCGATCACTCGGCAGCTTTTTGCTCGTTAAAATTCTATTTCGCCCAGGGTAAATAGCAAATTATGCTTCGAAAGCCCAACGTCATCCCCTCCTCCGGCCTTCGTGCATGTTGTGCATACACATCGATTCCACCGAGCAACCCCTTCTCGTCTGGTCGCCTACCACCGCAGCCACGTTGTTTTTTCTTCGTTCTTTTAATGGAACTGTTGCACAAGCCTCTCAGCCCTCGGCCGTGGCTTATCTTTATTTTCCGCATAAACGAGGACAGGCCTTATCAGCCGGCTAAAGCCAGCGGCTATCGTTAAAGTCAAACATGTTCTTGACATGCTCCACGCCGCTGCAAGTTGCCTATTACCACTTACACCTGGTGCCCTCTCTCCCTTTTTCCGCCTCGTTATCGGCACACTTGGTGTCTCTTCATCGCGCTGTAACTTCGCCTTATCGTTTTTTCTTTTTTTCTTCTTTTCTTCCTTTACTCCTGTTTCCGTTTCCTCTTTCGTTTTTAGGGTATAATTGTATCTTTCATTATGATATCGTGTTCGCGATAGCGGAAATGAAAATTGGTTGAGTGTCGAGTGCGAGAAAATTCTACGTGGTTTTAGTATTTTCTGTATAATTTTCGTAATAAATTTGACCGATCTCGCGAGGATATAGAATAATTGTTAATTCGAGAGATGTTCCTCGCTGCTTCAACAAACACTTTAAAGTTTCTACATAACCGTTCCAACGAAAGAACATTGTCTTTTTATTTTCTTTTTGTCTTCGATGTCTGCACGAATTACTTGCAAAAATTTTGGAAATTTCAATTTTCCCTATTTCTCTGGTCCGCGATTCGCGTCGCGGAAATTACCAGGGTTTTTCCATTTGAGGAGAAAAATTTGCAGGAGAAAATTCCGTGAGGCGAACGCTTTGATGTGTTCGAGTGGCGAAGAGAGTTGCGAAAGAAATGGGAGAGGGTGTACTTCGTGTTCTCGGGAAGACGGATCGCGAGAAAACGAGCGGAATCTCGCGTTTTGGAAGTCCGTTGGACGAAATGGACCGCGTTTTAGTTTCTTTTTCTTCCGATATTGTTCCTTCTTCTACTGGTTCTCTTGTTACGTCTCGTGCGGATCGATTTCGACGGCTTTAAAGAATCTTTTTATGCAAGAGAAAAAGTTTTCCGGTGCTAATTACTTCGCAGTTACGAAGGCTGACGAATATTGGAATTGGTGGTTACAGAAACGATGTATTTAAAAATATATTTATTTAAAAATTATAGAAGAACGGCGTTTGTTCGTTCAGATCGAAATGAGAGATAATTTTTAAATCGATCTGCTAATTATTTATTAATTAATGAAAACGTGCTATCAGAAACATTCATGTTAAAATGGAATTTTATATTTTTATATTGTTTGCGCATTACATCGAAATGGAATGGAAGCGTGGATGTGACAGAAGACCAGATTTCCCGTTTCGATTCGTAATTTTCGAACATATTTGAAGAATACGTTTTAATTAATATGAAACTCGCGTGTGTGTTCGTACAATAAAATAGGATACAGGGGGATATTAATCTTTCATTTGGTTTATGGATCAGGAAACCCTGAGAGCGGGGGATTTTAATTAATTTTTCAACCATGAATTCATTGTTAAACGATGGACGTCCCTTTTTATTCTCGTACTGTTGAATAATATTGTTATAATGTCACGTATTGTAGAGATGAATAACAGCTTCGAAGGTATTATTATTAATTCGATCGCCTACGTATTTATGATAATGGAAATTTGATAATAATTATTAATAATACACGAGTCTTTCAGGAAACAAACTCCCGAACTGCATCAACGTTACATATGTTTTTATGATTTCACGATTCCATGTATTTAAGACTCGATCAAAATATAGAACGGAGTATAAGAGTCGATCGATGGTAGCACCAGGAATCTCTGTGTTCTCATCGACAGCTCGTAAAGCGTGCATGGTCCCGAGGAGAACACCGTAAAACAGTCAACTTGCTGTTTCACATAAAGTCCACTCGCCATGGCCACACGCCATCCCCATAAAATTCAACCATGGAATGTCGTTCGCCTCGAAACATGCATAAGTCATTCGTTGAACTTTCCTCTTATCCCTGGCGATCAGTTTTATTCATCGTAAAATTGTAAACCGTCCTGACCTCGAGCGATCTGCTCGTGAATTTTTGCTCCGTCCACCACTGCCAATAGCTTTTGCAGGAATTTTTTATTGTTTTGGTATTAAATAATTACTATCAGACGCTCGTCTTCTTTAAATAACAATTCAGATGTTCTACCTCCAAAGGAATT